TTAGGTCAGCCTAACTTAACATATCATATTTATTCATTACTAACGTATTGCCAGGAAGCTTTCTGAAGCTTGTGTAGCTTGTGGTAGCTTGTGGTAATTAGATGGACCCAACATGACAAGTTGTGCAGACGACGCACCTCCCTCACCAAAATGGCGGCTCCCAACCTACTCCTAATACTGTTATTACACTTTATACACACATTATATATAAGTATCTACATTTGTGTTCACCATAGTGAACCACTAAGTTGGTATGGTGAGTGCAGTCAATAAAAGGTGGCCCCACACAGTCAGAAGATGACGCCACCACACTCCCACCCACAGCATTACTCCTCCTTCCATAGAGCACAGCGCTAAATATCATCACAATCCTGCTATTATCAGAATCCTGGTCAGTTTTATCTCAGTCAGGGGTCTTCTGTAATACTATCATCGCTAAATAATAGCACGAACATATATATTTTGACATTTTTAGGCGATGCTGTGGTCACAAGCTGAACAGCAGTGCTGTGCGCTCATGGTGCGCACGTCAGCCTTGGTGGCTCGCTCAATACTGAAGCTCTCACACGCAGGAATGTTGTTCCCGATTTTTGTTGTTCCCTTGTTAAGTTATTTGTGCCAATTATGAAGGAAGCGGTGTCTCTGTTCTTAGCTTCTTGCCTCGCGTGCCGACAGGCGGTGCTCGTCCACTCTTTGGAATCTGCTTGGGCCCTGGCTCTTAGATTTTTGTTCCCTCTTTGTCTGTTGCTGTTTGAAAAGTGTGCGGTTGTGCATTTTCTGCAGGCAGTTTCATCTAGTTGCCGGCCTATGTCGAACTTGTTACTTCTCTGGAGGGGGGGCCAGGGGGTCTTGCCCGAAAGAGTCATGCCAGGGCCTTGGATTCCTTCGGTCGTCATAAGCCAGTAGTGCCTGATTCGCCTGAGGCCTGAGTAGGCCTCTTTCCCTGCGCTCTGTCGGCTCATCCTGGAAGCTTGGGGGTGGTCAAAACAACGATAACCTGTAGGTGAGTTCCCGCCTGTTTCCAGATCTGAAATGGGACTGTGTGGATCTGAGGTTCCTTTTGGACTTATCCCATCTGAACCCCTGGGTCTTTTGGCCCCCCCCTCCTTTCGAATGACGACTTTGTCCCCGGTCCGGCTGCTTTTGGAGCCAGGTGGTTGGATGGTGTCCCTGGACCTCCAGGATGCATATTGGCACGTTCCGATTCATCCAAGGTGCAAGGACTGGCTCAGTTTTGTTGTGGGGCGGCAAGCTTACTGCTTTCAATGCCTTCCATTTGGCTTGAATCTGGCACCTCATGTTTTTACATGCCTTACCCAGGTCGTGGTGACCCGTTTGTATCTGTTAGGGGGTTCAGGTTCTGGCTTACCTTAATGACTGACTGGTCTGGGCTTCCAGCCAGTCCTCGTGTCTGCTCACCAGGGATTTGGTTCTTTCCCATCTCACCAGGTTTGGTTTCTTGGTGAACTGGAGGAAGTCCCATTTGGTTCCCTCTCAGGTTCGGATTTGGCTGGGTCTTGTGTAGGACTCTCAGACCACTTCCTTGTTACTCCTTCCCGTGGCATTGCTGTGGTCTTGCCTTCTGTTGTTTTGGGGGTGTGGGGACACCCGGGTCACTCGTCGATTGTTCAAGCAGCTGTGCGGAAATCTGAACTTTGCCATGCTGGTCTACCCGTCGGGTCGGATCAGGCTTTGGCAGATGTTCTGATTCCTTCGGGGACATCCCTTCCGCCACTCTCGCGATCGTTGGGTTTGAACCGCAGGGGCCTTGCGTCGGTTGCTGCGTCACTGGCTTCCTCTTTGGGTTTTTCGGGGTTCAGTGCCGTGGCGTTTATCCGAGCTCTCACTCAATGTGTTAACGGATGCGTCATCTCTCGGCTGGGGCTTTGTGACCAGTGCTCATCACACTGGCCAGGGTCCGTGAGGTCTGTCCTTCCGTCGGGATCACAGCACAGTGTGGGAGTTCATGGCGGTGTGGTTTTTGCTTCAGTGGGTTCATGTCGGCTTGTGGATTGACTATCAGGCTCCATTCGGACTGTGGTTCATTGTCTGAACCATGGGGGTTCGATGCAGTCCTTGGCTCTTTGGGGCTGGTTGCTTCGGGTGACTCATCTGCTGAATTCTCGGGGTTTCGCTCTCCTGGCGGTTCATATCCAGGGGGGTCCAACGTTCTGGCAGATGGCCTGTCCTGGTTCATTCACCCTATTCACGAAATGGACGGTCAACTCCGACTCATTCTGCTGGCTCTGCCGAATGTTGGGTGCCCAGAGGTGGATCTCTTCGCGTCGGCCTGGTTGAGGAGTCTTCCAGTGTATGTGGTACCCTTCCCTGACTGCGAGGTCATTAGGGTCAATGCCTTTTGGTTGGACTGGTCGAGGTGGGGTTACCTGTACTTCTTCCCCCTAGTTCAGTTGTTGCTCCAGGTCCTGGCTCGCTTGGGAACTTACCAGGGGAGAATAATCCTGTTGGCCCCTTGGTGGCCGGCCCAGCCTTGGTTTCAGGTGCCACTTGCTCAGTGTCCGAACCCGAAGGTCATCCTGTGACTCCGCCTCTTTCAGCAGATTGGTCCGGCCCAGTACATGGCTGGGTCGGTCTTCTCCTCCAATCTTCGCATATCATCTTTTTGACACAGGTTTATCACCACCTGTATGGTGATCAGGTGTCTTCATTGATGGTTTCTGATTGGGTTGTTTTGTTCTTTCTCTCTTGGTTGCTTCAGGACCATCATCTTATGCCGAACACTGTCGCCTCATATCATGTGGCGCTGGTGGAGCTGCTTCAGCTTGCATTCGGGATGGATGTTACTTCTGCTCCATTCCGTAAGCTTTCTTGGGCGCTGTTTCACCTCCCGCCTTTTTATGTGCCGCCTGAGCCATCCTGATCGTTGGACCGGGTGCTCTGTTTTCTCTCTTCTCCTCAGTTTGTAGTGGCCCCTTTGGTTCAGGACTGTTTTCCTAAGGCAGGAAATGTTCTTGTTAACATTGGCCTCTGGGGGGTTGGGTCGGGTCGGGGAGCTTCTTGCTCTCCTCCTGTGCAGGGGGTTTCTGGTCATTCGGTACTGGTGGTTGGTGGTTGGTTTCCAGCTGTCTTCTTTTCTGGTGAAGAATGAGAGTGCTGCTTTCCGGAGGAGTCCTTGGGTTGTTGATGCTTGGTTGGTTTGGCCATGGGTGCATCATGTTTTGTGTCTGGTTGCAGCTCTTTGCTGTTAATTGCATGCCACTGCCTCTGTGGTAGGGGACGTGCTTTGCATTGATCTGGTTTCCCTTCTTCCCAGTTCCAGGGCGTGGGTCTCCCAGGTCATTTGCAGGATTATTCGATCAAGCCAGCCTGCGGTCTAACCCGTGCCCACGACATTCGTAAGTTAGCAGTTTTGGCTGCTGTTTTTGGTAAAATGTTTTGGGCTGACATTTAGGCACGGGGTTTTTGGAGGTCGAACAGGGTCCTGGCTGTACGGTACCTTGTCAATGTTCCAACATATTCCCTTCTCGGGCATATGTTGCCTTGGGTCGCAGGCTGCAGCCTGTTGTCTTGACTTCAAGTTGAGGAGTGAGTTTGTGGCCGCCGCTCGGGCAAGTCCCTCTTTTCCTTTATTTTTGGTTAGGTAGCTCTGGGGAAGCCGAAGGGGCTCTCTACAGAAAACCAGCATTGAATGTAATGAAATGCCATTTTCTGGCTGAGACCTGGAGGCTCCCTGGCATCCCTCCCTCCAGTTAACTTTCTTTGCGTTTTTTATATTCAAATTCTGAACTGGGGTTGGGTAGCCGGCATGGGAGGTTTGGGGCCCCCCTTCTTCCTCCTGGGGAGGGGATAGCTGCACAGTACCTTGCGCCCCAGCCAGCAACGATACTACCGTCTACCCAAGGCCAAACAGTGGTAAGAAAAACCCCAGCTGACCCCAAGGGCGGGCAATCACTGAGTAGTAAAAGAACCCTGTGGAGGTAGCCTCCAAACAGTTTGTGGAAGGTAACCCAAAACTGCAAGGGCAGTACTTGCAGCGCACCTAAGGAAGATGACCCTAGGCACATGCAGCCCCAGTACTTCTTGAATTACACCTGGCTCACACACTACCACACAAGAGAAGTATTATGTATTAGTGCTGTGTATTACAGCACCACAGTGCCGTAATACACAGCACTGCTCAAAGGATTTAGCCAGAGTCAATCGACCGCCACTCAAAACAACAGCCTCAGAACTGGGGTTGGGTAGCCAACGCGGGAAGTTTGGGGGCCTCCTCTTCCCCCTCCCGGGGAGGGGGGAGCTGCACAGACAGCGGCACAGCGACTGTGGTGACGTCATGCTTGTTTATTTGTTTTCTGACTTGGGAGTTCTGCTTACTTGTTCGGCTTTTGGTTTACAATTTTTAGCCAGCTCTAGTTTGTTTTGGGATTCCTACCTTTCTGGGTGCCTGACCTGGTAGATGGTAGTCATAGACTGCTTCCAATCACATGGGGATGTCTATAGACCATTGCTCCTCGTGCCCCTCTGAGGAGGGGGGGGGGGGTGGAGAGCCAGGTTCTGGCTCTGGTCCCCGGTAAACTTAGAACTCCATTGACTGACTGTTGCCATGGTCTAATATATATACACATCAGCCCGGTATAGCTCCGGGGAGCCTCTGGGTCTCATTACATTCAATGCTGTTTTTTTATAAGTTGCCAATAATAAATTATTGAATATTTACAAGGAAATTTAAACAAATTATCATATGTGTATCAAAATAGTAAATACAGACAGAAAACAGTTTATCCAGATATAAAAATTTACAAACTCAAGTTAAAATCAAGCCTTGTTTTTAATGCATAAACAAAGGGCACAAAATCACTAGCATTTCCTACTAAATTTTATTAATAACATCAATGACAGTAGAGACAAATGTATACAAATTTGTAAAGTTTTGTGTCAAAACTTAACAAATTCACAACTCATTAAAAGGAAGCAAGTAAGAAAAGGTATGGTATTTGAACTCCATGTCAAGCACATATGTGCTTAAATATTTCTCTCACCTGTGGGATTGTCAGCCATTTGGTCCAAAATGTCTTCTGATTCCATGTCTTGTTTCGCTCTTTGCCACAATTCTTCAAGTCTCTGCCTCTCAACATCTCTTCTTTCTGTTTCACGCCGATGCCTAGTCAGGTCTCTATGAAGCATTGCACGTGTCTCCATCTCAAACCGCCGAATTCGCTCTTGAGTACTCGCACTGAGACCTGCATATGATCGAATGGCAACTTCATCTCCAAAAAGTGAGGTTGTTTCAGGGGCTAACTGACTAGACTGTTGGGTGGAAGTAGCAGTGTTTTCTATGGTCGAACTGGTGGGCAGTGTTGATGGTGCTGAATTGGTACTAACTCCATCCTTCTTTACAACACAAAATGGATGGATAATATCTCCAGGTATGCTCAGCTTTGTTGCTTCACTACCACTAGTCCTATCATTATTAAGGCTTTGTGAAAAATTAGATACACCAGAAGAATGACTTTGAACACTCATAAGACTCATATTAGATATTTTCCGCTCACTCATTGGTTTTGGGTCGGGCAATTCTACCATACTTTCAATTTGCTTCGCTAGCAACCGTTGCTTTCTTAGTTCCGCCTCCTTGTCAATGTCACGTTCCTCAAACCCCCCATCTTTATCACTGTGTCTGGAGTCATCAATTGGCTTGTCTTCTATAGCCTTTTTACACTTAACTTTATGGACTTTTCTATTAGCAGCAGATATGATGGAGGAGACAATATCCTTCTTCATATCTGCCTTTATGTTACCTGTAAACAAAATAAAAGTTTAGTGTTTTGCAAAAGATGATAAATGTAAATACAGTAACCTGAAATTACTACTGAGTTCTAAAACAAGACCAGTGATTCAGTGCTTTCTTAACAACCTCAGAAAAACTTAACTATATGAAAAAATATTAATGTTGTTCGAGTATTTTTATTTAAACTTCCAGATTCTATGCCATTCCATGCCAAACTTCCCTTCAAACAAATATCTAGGAGGATTAATTAATGTTATCATACCCACAGCTGCAGAAAAAAATATAGAGACTAGAAGGACAGTACAGTTTACAAGGGACTCGAAAGAGAAAAAAGGGAAAATGACTTGGGAGTGGATGTAACCCCAGCCATAACACCAGAGGCAAATACATTAATAGAATAACATCAGATGTGTATGCAAGACTGGCAAACATAAGAAAGGCCTTCAAAGAACCTGAACATAGAATCCTTCCAAAAGTTTATATGTAGAACGTTAGACCAGTTATAGAGTATGCAGCTCTAGCATAAGAACCCAACCCAAGGAGCTAAGTAAGAACAAAATAGCTGGCCCAGATGGGGTGGCACCTTGGGTTCTGAGGGAATGCGCATCTGAGCTGGGCATTCTACTTCAATTGATTTTTCAATCATCTTTATGTACAGAAAAGTCTTGACAGATACATGGCAAAAGATAAACATTGTTCCAATTTACAAATATGGTAGCAAGGAAGACCCTCTTAATTAAAGACCTGTACCGTTGGTAAATGTAGTAATCAAATAACTAGAAAAAATAATGAAAACCAAATGGGCAAAACACCTGGAGAGAAATGATATAACAACAGGCAACATGGTTTTCCAACAGGAAGATCCTGTAATTACCTAAGTGTTATCTAAGTGTAATTACAGGATGAGAGCTATGCTCGTTGTGTCTCGTCTTCCCAGTACTCTTTGTCATATAATGCTTTGAAACTACTGACGGTTTTGGCCTCCACCACCTTCTCACCTAACTTGTTCCAAATGTCTACCACTTGTGAAAGTGAATTTTCTAATATTTCTTCGGCAGCCTTGTTTCGTTAGTTTGAATCTATGACCTCTTGTTCTTCAAGTTCCAGGTCTAATGAATTCTTCCCAGATCAATTTTATAGATTCCTGTTATTATTTTGTACGTAGTTTTCATATCGCCTCTTTTTCTTCTATCTTCTGGTTATCGCATATTTAAGGCCTCTAACCTCTCCTCGTAGTTCTTGTCCTTCAGTTATGGGAGCCATTTACCTGCATGTCTTAGCACCTTTTCCAGTTTGTTGATGTGCTTCTATGATATGGGCACCATACAAACACTGCATATTTCAGCTTTGATCTAACAAAAGTCGTGAACAATTTCTTTAATATTTCACCATCCATGTATTTAAAAGCAATTCTGAAATTTGAAAGTACAGTATAACTTAGGCTCCTTTCACAATGTTCTTTATGTTGTTCTCAGGTGATAGTTTTCTATCTAGAACCACCCCTAGAGGTCTCTCTTTATCCAAATTTGTTAAAGATTTCTCACATAACTTATAGGTTATGTGGGGTCTATGTTCTCCTATTCCACATTCCATAACATGGCATTTATTCACATTAAATTCTATTTGCCAAGAGATGCTCCATACACATATTTTGTCCAGGTCTTCTTGAAAGGCATGACAATCATTTATGTTTCTTATCTTCCCTATTATCTTAGCATCATCAGCAAACATGTTCATATAATTCTGTATTCAATCTGGTAGATCGTTTATGTAGAAAGTGAACATTACCAGTGCTAGAACTGAACCCTGTGGTACTCCACTCGTGACATTTCTCCAGTCCGATACATTGCCTCTGATTACTGCCCTCATTTTTCTGTCAGAAAATTTTTCATCCATGTCTTCGTTAGTGTTTTCAAAGCATCACATGACAGAGTACTGGGAAGATGGGACACCGCGAGTGTAGCTCTCATCCTATAACTACACTTAGGTAATTACAAGAAGGAAATTAAGAAAGTGTAATGATTTGCAAGTAGACAGGTAACAAAGATAAGAGAAATGAGCTATGAGGCTAGGCTAAGTGAACTGTAACACACTATATTTGAAGAGATAGTGAGAGAGAGAGAGAGAGAGAGAAAGGGGGATTATTGATAGGGAAGAAATAGAGAACAAATTTAGAGTGAATACCAACTGATCAAGTGGTCGAGTGTGGAAGCTTGCGATGAACCACAGAGATGCATGAAAGACATTTTTTCTAATGGAAAATGAAGAAGCAAATGAGAAGGTTGTAGAAGCATTTCAATCCATACCTTCGAAAGTAGATATGAAAGGAAGTTAAGTAAGGAGTCATTACATTAGTGAGCCAGTAACTGGAAAGGCAGGTTCCAAGAGTAGAAGCTTTATCCTGCAGACACAAAGGCACAAATAGTGGGAGCACATACACACAGTTAATACATACTGTATGTGTATACACAATGAATATTCTAGCATGAACAAAACAGAACTAAAATATAAAACACAAATACAGTGCCTTGATAAGATATGGATTTTCTTAGTAAACCTATTTAATTATTATTCCACAGACCTACTTAGTTCAATAATTTATCCTGTATATACATATGGTAAAGAATAATAAAGAGATGTAAATGCTAATAAGAACATAGATCAAAAGTTTAAAAGACAGACAAGACAATTGTATCATTAGTATTTTAATATAGATGTTATGTAATATGTGAATGAACTTAATAACTAGTGATGTTTGGTAAAAAAAAATTTATGAAATAATTTTTTTTAAATAAGATAATACCATACTGCTATAAAATTTCAGACTGGTTCAAGGGCATTAATGAATGTGCAAGTTAATATGAAAGAACACAGCTTCTAAATGTAATTCATCACAGACTCTAGTTGTCTTAAATAGAGATACTGTACATATATACACACATACATTCATTACACAATGAAATCACAAGTATGTGATGCATCTATGAGAAAATATACAATGGGCCTGACCCCGCATGCCTAGACTCCCCAGATACACGCTCTACTGACTGATGTCTCCTGGGATGCAGATTCAATCCCATTGTATAGCCTTAATATTTGCTTGTACATTCATTATTATTATTACCATATTTCCTAATTCCATGGGTTGGGGAAGGCATCAGCCCAAAAAAGTTTCTGGTGAGGAATTCAGTAGCTCCCTGAGCTAAGCTCTGGTCCAATCAAGCCACAATGAGATGCACCAGCCTCTTACCTATCAGTAGGTATATATCAGTAACTACAGGGAAGGGAGATACTGTATAGCTTTTCATGCCAAGTCTCATAGCCATGTTAATTACATCTCTCAACATTCAAGTTTATCATATTTTTCCTTAAAGTTTTGGATGGAAATGGCCTTGACAATGACTCTGACTCAATTGTGTATCCAGTTTCCACTGATGTTCTCTTGTTCTACCTCCTTTCAAATTATAAATAGGCTGCCTTTGTTTATATTGTCTATTCCTCTCAGTATCTTTTATATAGTGAACATATCCCCTCCATTTATTTTCTCCTCTATGGTTGTGAGGTTGTTTCCTGAACCTGTCCCCGTAGCTAAGCTATGATACTAATTTAGTTACAAACCTCAAGCCTCTAAGACCCACCCTTGCTAACTGGAAGCCAAGATCAAAATCTGGCTCCCTCTATAAAGGAGAGAAGCTTGGTGAGCAGAGATCCATACAAAACCAAGATGAAACTTCACCAATAAGTATAAATGCAACAAAACCTTTCTGAATAATGGGCTTCAGAGGCCTGGTATATCTTCCTAAGGCTTTGGCTTGTGAGGATTGAGTGTGATCTTGAGGTTAGCTTGAGATGATTTCGAGGCTTAGTGTCCCCACGGCCCGTTCCTAGACCAGGCCTCCCTTTGATACTTTAGAAGTTTGATAGTTTAGTACAGTAGTTTGATAGTTTAATATTTAGTATTAGTTATGTTAGATTCATATTATATTGATTCATTTTATATTAATTTAATTTATGTTTTTACCTTATATTTAAAATGCTGTCAATGTGGCCTTTTGTTAAGTAAACAAAGAATAAGATGGTTTTCATAGTCCAGCCAAACCATAACAGGCTGGACCAGCACTTAGCTTAGGAAGCTACTAAGGCTACCTTCCCAGAAAAGGTGAATAATATAGCGAAAGAAGGTTATAGATATAAATAATATAAACTTAAATATCACTCATCCATTCATAATAACATTCACACTACATATAGCATCTGGGATAAAAAAAAAAAAGCCCCATCACACTCCAAATGTCATTCACAACAGCACCTCACTGCATCTTACAACCAGGCGTATGTACATAGTTTCTCATGAATTGTCATGTACAGTATATACAAATACATTTGCTCACTCCATACAAACTGCCTCTACACAGAAGTGTTCCTCTCCAAAACATAATTATTGCCCACATTTACTCTAATGTCTTTCACAAACAATAAAATTCTGAACAAGTCTACATAATTCTCCTTCACTCTTTGCTAAAATAACTAAAGTGACTACATATAACAAATTGGAAATAGCATAAGCAATATCCAATTTGTTAATACTTATGCTATGCCCACCCACTGCATGTACATCCCTCTCTAACATTTCTTACCTTGGCCTCCCTCATGACCCATATATTGTATGTATATATTAAATAACCTGGCTGACATAACAACACCTACTCTTAATATCACATCAATCACTCATTACGCCAGTAACTCTTCCATATGGATCCTGCAGTACAGCAGTCCACATCTTCAGCTCACAACTGAGGGAGACAGGTTTAATCCCGGGCAGGAGAGAAACAACTTGGCACGTTGTCTTTCACTGGTACCTGAGAGTCAGGCAACTGCTGAGGGTTACATCCTAGTGAAGGTCAACAGGTGACCTAGGGGAACCTCGATAAGCCTAAGCACAGGCTTCCTCTCCAAAACAACAAGAATTAAATGCACTCTTTCCTACAAAGAACTTTTCACAGCCTTTTAACAGAATTTGGCAAACTCTATACATGCTCTTTACTCTCCAAAGTCCTTCCCTATTAATTTTGTCATAGTATTTTTTCCAACCTCATCAATGCATTATATGCCTTGTAATCTTTCTCACGTGCCTTTTCTGCAAGCTGTTTCAATGTAATTTCCTGATCCATACACACTCTTCAACAGCATAACAAACCTTATTTATTATAGAACAATTTCTCAGCAATTTCCTGAATGCTTATCTATATAGTCGCTATGCCTTTCTCCCTCCTGGAAACTTTCCATTTACAGTTAGTAAACTAATGCCTACACTGTATAATATACTTATGCAAATTATATTCTCTCTTATTTTTATAGTGTACAATCACAGCTCTCTTTCAATCCTCCAGCACAGTAACACTATCCTCTGTGTAGTGGAAAATTAATTATAAGCATTCTATGCTTTGTCTCCACTACATTTAATTAGTTCAGCATATAGCTCATTAACACATTGCTTTCCCATTTCAACTTTTGCAATGATTTGCCTCGTCCATGGACAGGTATTGGCTGACTTTTGAAAAGTACAAGATACGGGTATCTTGTACTCTTCTTACACCATCAAGTCCAGTCATGTTCATGTTAGCATCTCTTTCATCCCATCCACCCATTAGACTTTCAGCATATTCTATCTGCCTACTTCCAATCTCTTCACCTTAGATACTGCATATTAAAAATGGACAGCAGTGGGTGTGAACAGCTGTAGTAGCAATAGTACAGACAGAAGTATAGGAGACATACGGGGCACCATCTTACCATACGATATGACCACAGTGTGATCACCTACATTATCTAGTCAATGAATAATGTTTTCGCATTCTATATCTTTAATTTTTCCCCTTACTTGTGCCTTTTTGTCCGTGCGGTCTCTTTCCATCTACTTCCCTACTTATGTACGCTTGCTGAGGCAGTCCTCATTCTTTCCACACACTCCTGTTTCTCACTGCAAGTAAATGGCAATGGCTTCATTTATGTCATAGCCAAACCTGCATATGGAATTCTTGTGCAAGTATTTCAGATGTTTCTTTAAATATCTGACATCTGACATATTTGGTAAGAATCCTGATACAGTCATTCCTCAAGGGAAAATTCCCAGAAGAAATATAGCACCAACAGTAAAATATATAGTTAGTATCAGCAGAACAGACAAAGTAACTAATGAAGACATAAAAAAGATGATTAGAAATTCACACAGAAAGAGTCAACCAAGATGATAAACAGGTTATCAAAAACTAACAGTGAACATACATGGTAGTATACTGAGGTAGAATTAAGTTAGTAATTAAGAATGAATATGTATGACAATCTGAAACAGGGTACAAGATTAAAGGGCAAGACTACAGAAAAAATTACACGGTGCATGGAATCAGTCAGTGAAGGAAAGGCATGGTTGATCATATGATGGTAGTTGACTGATTGGTTCTGACCACAAAGGAACCATTTGTAGAAGGGGGATGAAAGAGTGGAATGGATGCTGTAAGGCCTCACCTGGTAATTCAACTTATTGCACATTCTTTAACATAGCTGAGTGCTTTACCAGGCTGAAAAAATAGTGTCTTGACTTACAGTTTGCAGGATGATGATACAAACAGGTGACTTCACCCTCCCCCCTCATTTAAAAGAAAATTGTACAGAAAATGATATAATTTTAAAAATTATAAAACAACTAGATCATTTCTGAGCTATCTCACTCAGCTGCTCCCTAAAGCAAGCTCTAATTGACCCCTAACTATGATTTAACACAGTCAAGACAAATTATTCACTAGTTCAGTGGGAAACATAAAACCTATCCTTGATGGGGCCATACTATTTTATTTTATTTTTATTTATTTATATATACAAGAGTTCTTACATTCTTGTACAGCCACTAGCACGCATAGCATTTTGGGTAAGTCCTTAATCCTAATTTTCACACACTCACATTTCTAGGAAGCACCCCATAGCAGCTGTCTAACTCCCAGGTACCTATTTACTGCTAGGTGAACAGGATCATCAGAGTGAAAGAAACTCTGGCAATTTGTTTCCTCCTCAGCCAGGGATCAAACCCGGACCCTTAGGACTACGAACCCCGAGCGCTGTCCAGCACTTGACCCCCTGTGCCTGGGTCAAAGTAATTTTGACTGACAATATGCTGATTAATGATGCATATGAATGAGATAGTGGCTTCATCTATCTCATTTAACAAGATAAAACAAACTTTTCTAAACACAACATGGTATCACAAGGTCAAGCATTGCCCTTGCAAGCTACCGATTAGTGTAATAGGTTGCTACCCATGACCGTATAAGGATGCAGCACCAACACCACAATGACAACCTCATGATATTCTTACCTGAAAGGCATCTACATATGGTTGAATGGGCAGCCACAGACCAGGGAAGGATTTACTAAGCATTTGTGTGTTCATTTATGAAACTTGTACATCTTTCCTCAATCATCGTGGCTTAGTTTTACATTTATTAAACAGTTTATGAGCTCCGAAGCACTAAAAGGTTACGGTGACAATAACTGCCTTGAGTTGAGAACGGCCTCATAATATTTCCACGCTCATAAACTGTTTAATTAATTCAAATTAAGCTTCCACAATTAAGAAAAGATGTAAAGGTTTCATAAATGGGCACGTAGATGTTTGACGAATCCTGGGCCAGAACTAATCAATTAAGTGTTACCCTGAAAACTGGGGTGTTTGGTTTTTGTAGCAGGCTTGAATTATACATGTGAATGCTTCTCATGTGTACAGAGACAAACCTTAATGAGTCTGGACTTTCACCAACTTATTGCACAAAGTTATATTTTCTACGATTTGTCAGTTCCTCTTAACTTTGTTCCGGGTCACAGCCATTTTGCTCATCACAAATTATTAAATTAAATAAACATCTTATTCTTTCAGTTTAATTTTGTTACTGCACCAAAGTGGTACTATCCTCCTTCAGACTACCACTATATTTCTGATGTAATGACACTGCTTACCTACTTGATACTTGCTTAGTTGACACTGTGCTTATCTAAATCACACTGTGCATCTACTTCACACAGTGCTAACCAAGTTAGCACTGTGCTTACCTAGTCGGCAATATGCGCACCTAGTTGGTACCGTGCTCATGTGAAGGAAAACTATTTTCTTCATGTATTCCTCAGAATTATCATCATTTGACCACTGATACTACTTTATTCTGGTGTGGTTATTATAAACTCTTACTCTGTCCTCATAACTCTTAACTCTCATCTCTAGTACTACACTCAGAGCAAATCTCAGGACCTTCTCTATTTTCCTTTTGTGCTTCAAATATTTGAGATTAAAACCTGGAGCTGCATATTTTAGAATTCTTCTGACACATGCTGTGTACATTATTTTGAAGGATTCCTTGCTTACTCTTAGTTTAGTTATGGTATCTTTTGCCAATACATGATTTAGGAAGCAACTGAGGGGGGGGGGGGATTAGTTCAGAAGTCATGCACAAGTACATAGGAAAATATAAATTCTGAGCTATATACATAAATATGAGCTGCCTCATATAGGCGAATAGGCCTTTTGCAGTACCCTTGTTTTGTGATGTCAAGTAGTGCATGGGAAGACTTGAGATTTATATGACTGTAGTTTCTGGCTGCATCAAGTATTCCCTAATGTTTCCCAGGAAGTCACAGTTTCTAACCAAGGTTCAGTAGGATCGTGCCTTAGGTAGCATAAAGATACAGTCATAAAGATGTAAGGAAATTCTCATTCCTTTTATGAGTGGTTGGCAAATGGAATACCTGTACATTGAAGGAAGGGGTTGTCGAAGTCAATTCTATCCATAACTTTAAGACAAATTATGATGAAAACATTAATGTTGAGAGAGGTAATTAAAGCACCAAGGATAAATCGCAAGCAGGCAGGGTATACTGTAGAGCTAGATCTCTCTCTCCCCATAGTTGCCCAACCACTTGAGCTGGACAGTAGAGTGATGGTCTCACTTCATGCAGGTCGACTTCATGGAAGGTCGATCCCTTCCAAATGGTACATAGTTGAAATGGCTTGGCACTTTCTCCTGATAGTTTCCTTCCATTCTTCCCCATATTCACTGATAGGTAAGCACCCAAGTGTACTATACTGTACTATTAAAAATTGTGGTTTTCACATGCCCTCGTTTGCTTGAAAATTGAAATGCACACATGCTATATTTCTGGATACTGGTGAGTTCTTACCTTCAACTTTTTGAATATTATGGAGGAGGAGAGCCTGACTTGAGGGTGTGTCAGTTTCCGAAGGTGGCAGAGATTCCCCAGCAGGACTCTGAAGAACTGAGTGATTTAGAACTGGTGGTACAATTTCTTCTCCATCATCTTCACTGAAGAACCATGCAGCCTATAAAAAAGAAGTCAAAGTTAATCTAAATTTTTATGCCAAATGCCATGATTTAGCAAGCTACTGCAGTTCTCATACAAATCACAGGAAAAGCTTATTAATAACATAACCAGTGTCATCTTAAATGCATTAAAAATTCCTTTTTTGTTTAAAGATGGCTACAATTGTCTAGGGAAACAAATAAATAACCCATTCTGTACATTTGAAATTTGATGAAAGTAGTAATGTTTTGGTCCATCCTGAACCCTTATCAAGTTGTGACAAGGAAGAGTGGGTTGGGTTATTTGTTTCAGCCACATAATTGTGACCTGTCCTCTCCAAACAGTAATAATTACCGATGCATATACTGTACATACAGGTGATAAGTTATTGCAAAAAGAATAAACTCTGAACTTACTTGACTTATGAGCGTTTCAACTATGCGGCACTGATGTGACATGTCGGTGACCATCGTCACCATATTATCATCCCCTGAGCGAACAAGCGTTGGTCCAAAGACAATGGCCAGATTACGAACATCCATTTTATTCATGTCAGAGTGACTGACAATGTTGTTCAAGTGCATTATTAAAAAACGTAGAGTCTCATAGTGATGATATGGTAGTTCTTGTACCTGCAACAAGCACTTGGATTTAACATAATATTGAAGAAAATAAAGTACATTATAGTGAAATAAACCAATCTATAACTTCTAAATTATGCACTTTTCTTAATTGTGTTTTCTGAATATATGTAGTAGTAATGCAACTCTTAAAAACAAAAATTATATTATCAAAATAAAAACAATTCTGAAAATGCACTACAGTAATTATTCTTTATATAAATAAAACAAATATTGCACACAAAACTGACAAACATGTTAATAAACAATTATAAAAAATCTTGACATTATATATTATATATACAAAACAGTGACACTCTGTGACTCACCAATTTCTTTAGCTCCACCATTCTTTGGCTCGGATCTTCAATTTTGCTTGCCTCAATAAACAATGGATAAAGCTCAATGGTGAAAAGAGGATCAGGCAGTTTCTGGAAGAACTGTTTCAACATACTGGATATGACATTTACATCACACCATCTGTAAACAAAAATAACAATTTAATTTAACAATGACAAGAGAAGTAAAAGGACAAAAAAATTTTATTCTTAAGTAAAAATTAATCCTTTTATGATGGGAGTCATGAGAGAGAGCTTCAATTCCAATGCATTTTATCCACTTCCCGAGCCAGCAACGTGGAAACCTGCCACCCATCATTCTCTTCCAAATTCCCCACAGAAGCATTACACCACTTCATAATTTTAATACTGCAATATAAATTCACTGTGTCGAGGGACAGGTAGCCAGTGTATATATATACATGCTAAGCTTATACTGAGAACCCACTCAAGGTCGAATTACTGACACTCCCCAGGATGCAACCCCAGAACAAGCTGACAAACTCCTAGGTACCTATTTGCTGCTAGATGAATAGGCACAATACGTGATAAGAAATGTACCCAACCATTTCTGTCCCGCCCGGGTTTCAAACTCAGAATTCCCAGCTGTGAGTCATGAACAAATCCGGCTGTACTACCGGGACCCTTTAAAACTGGTGCTAAGAATATTCTTGACAACTACTTACACTTCATTTTTTATTTATTTGCTTTTCTAGTGCATGTAAGTATTTTAATACTGTAACAAATGCACCTAAACAGGTGCAAGCTAAAAAAAAGAAAAAGAAAAATGAATATAATGAAACGCCATATTTTGAGTGAAACCCGGAAGCTCCCTGGAGCTATCTGGGCTGATATGAATGTATTAGACCCTGGCATCAGTTAAGGTGAATGGAGTTCTCAAGCCAATCTGGGACCACGAGCCAGAATCTAGCCCCCTCAGAGAGGCACAAGGAGCAATGGCCTATAGACACCCCCGTGTGGTTGGAAGCATTCTATGTCTGCCATCGACTGGGTCAAGCACCCAGAAAGGTAAGTGCCCCAAAACAAACCCTATCTGGTTAAAATAATGTTACTGGAATCTAAACTGTTGGATAGAACTCCCCCAAATGAAAACAAGCAAACGAACATGATGTCACAACTGTCACTACGCTACTGTCAGCGCAGTGCCCCCCCTCCCTGGGAGGAGGAAGGGGGAGCCCCAGACCCCCACACCAGGCTATCCACACCTTCAGTTCTGAGGCTGGATGTCAAAACCTGCAAAAATCGCCAACTGGAGGGAGGGAGGATTGCCGGAGAGCCTCTGGATCTCACCCAGAAAATGCCGTCTCATTACATTCAATGCTGGGTTTTCTGGGAGGAGCCCCTTAGGCTTTCCGGAGGTACTTAACCAAAGATAAAACAAGAGGGACTTACCTGGGAGGCAGTTGCCACTCGCTCCTCAACTCAAAGTCGAGACAACAGGCTGCAACCGCCGACCCAATGCGACACATGCTTGACTAGGGCCAGGAACATTGACTAGGTAGCAAGCGGCCAGGACCCTGTTCAACCTCCAAAAACCCTGTGCCCGAATGTCAGCCCAAGACATGTTACCAAAGACGGTAGCCAAAGCAGTAAACTCATGAACATCATGGGCACGAAGATAGACCACAGGCTGGATGGAGCGAATAACCCTGCAGACGACCTGGGAGACCTGAACCCTGGAACAGGGAAGAAGGGAAACCAGGTCAACCCAAAGCGTGTCCCCGGCCACCGAGGCTGTGGCACGCAGGTAACAGCAAAGAGCCACAACTGGACACAACACATGATGCACCCCCAGCCGAACCAACAAAGCATCAACAACCCAAGGACCTCTCCAGAAAGCAACAGTCTCATTCTTCAGCAAAAAAGAAGGAGACGGCTGCAAACGAACAAACCTACCACCAGGACCAAAAGAGCAGAAACCTCTGTGCTGGAGAAGAGCATGAAGCTCCCGAACCCGACTGCCAGAGGCCAATGCCAACAGGAAAAAGAGCCTTCGCAAAACAATCTTGAACCGAAGGGGCCACAACAAACCGAGAAGATAGAAAAGAGAGCATCCGGTCCTACGACCAGGACGGCTCAGGCGGCGCATAAGCAGGCCAGAGGTGAAACAACGCATGAGACAGCTTGCAAAACGGAGCAGAATTAACATCCACCCCAAACGCAAGCTGAAGCGACACCACCAGTGCCGCACAATACGAGGTGACAGTGAAGCCAAACACTTTGCACGAGGTGACAGTGTTTGGCATAAGATGACAGCCCTGAAACAACCAATAAAGAAAGGACAAGACAACCCAATCCGAACCAGAGGAGAACCTACGGAGGGACAAGAAATAATGAAAGGACCACCAGGAAACTTCATATTGCCGCCAACACGAAGCAGGCAGGTGGAATATCATCAATGAAGCCACCTGCTGACCATACAAGTGGTGATAGACCCGCATCAGAAAGACGAAACGCGAAGATTTCAGAAGATTGAACCAGCTATGTAACAAACCGGCCCGATCTGCTGAAAGAGGGGGAGAGACATGAAGACCCCCGGGTTCAGACACTGAGCAAGCAGCGAATGAAACCAAGGCTGGGCCGGCCACCAAGGGCCCAACAGGACTACTCTCCCTTGGTAAGCCTCCAAGCAAGCTAGGACTTGGAGCAACAGCGAAACCGGGAATAAGAGGTACAGGTAATCCCACCTTGACCAGTCCTGCCTGAAGGCATCGACCCCGACAGCCTCCCAGTCGGGGAAGGGAGCCACATACTACCGGGATACGCCTCGACCACGCCAACGTGAAGAGATTCACCTCCAGAAGCCTGTAAGCCGGCAGAGCCAACTGAACAAATCGGCATCAACAGTCCATTCCGTGGACAGGGGAATGAACCAAAACAGGCCGTTCACCAGGATGTTGGACACTCCCTGGTTATGAACCACCCGGAGAGCCAAACCTGGAGAATCCAGCAGACAAGTCACCCGAAGAGACCAACCCCAAGCATGGGCAAACAGGGCGAGCCTCCCCCCCCCCTCCCCATTGCCCCCGTCAACAGGGTGAACTGCGTAAGAGCCGATAACCCTTATGAGAAGACAAACAACGTGCAGAGTGAGCACTGCGCCAGCCAGAAGCTTTCGGCTCCGAAGGAGGGGCCGGCCCCGAATATGACACTACTGGCCCACCATGACCGAAGGAACCCCGAACCCTGGCACGACCCTTCCGGGCAGGATCCCTGCAGGATCCCTGCAGGGCCCTCTCCCCCCGAGAACCAAGAAGTCTGACATGGGATGACAACAAGACAATGCTGCCAGCAGATACTGCACAAGCACAGACTCTGCCAACAGCAAAAGGCAAAAAGGAGACAAATATCTAAGAGCCAAGACCCAAGCATATTCCAAAGAGTGAGCGAGTACTGCCTGTTGGCACGCGAGGCGAGAAGCAAAAAACAGAGACGTCGTTTCCTTCAGAAATGGCTCAAACAACATCAACATGACAGCCGACATCCGAGCTGCCGAAGCAAGCGCACCGGACGCAGGCCCAAAACCCAGTGCCTTCACATTTTCCTTGAGCCAATCCAACGACAGCTCAGCAGGGAAAAGAGGCGCAAGACCGAAGCCAAATGCCCACGGGAGTGGGCATTTGCAAGTCCTTAGCCACCAAGAATGCCGAAAGGGCAGGAACCTGCATGTGAAGCAGTACCTGGCCAATATCACGAAGAAGAACAGGGGCAAACAAGCATGCATTGAGGTGTGCAAACTCGTCCCCCAGGTAAACCTAAACCACCGTAGTAGCTTCCTGCCACCCAAGAGTGTGGGTAAGACAGAATGCATGCCATGCCCCCAAAGAAAAGAAAGGGCAGTCTGCCAACCAGGAAGACTCCGGCACCTCTTAATGTACCCAGTAAGGAAAAAAGGAACTAAACTCAAATTAAGAAGGATCCATTATCGAGGCGTAATCCGGCAATTGCGTCACAGGAGGTAACGATGCAATAGCCTCCTGAACCTCCTTAGGCAGGGTGTAGGAAGCCGAAAATCTCTGTAAAGAGGGAAATGAGGAACCCAAGAAAACTCGGAACTGAACCCAGGAAGAAGCTGAACTCCTATCAAACTTGTACAGGGAGGGGGGAAAAGAACACCTCTCTTCCCTGCAACAACAAACCCCATGCCGAGGGTACCAACACCCAAGCTGGGTCAAACAGGACCCAAGTCCCCCAAGTCAACTTCTCCCCAGCCCTGGGAGCCTCCACATCAGGATCCGGGGGCAGAGTCGTCCTCCAAACACTCTGCTTCTGGAGAAAAGGCAGATTCGACTGGAAAAGCAGGGAAGGAGGACCACTGGTCCAACCCAAAAGCCCTGACAGGAGGAACCGGCTTGAATGCCTCCAATGCTGAACCGGAAGGGACAGCCCCCGAAACAGCCCGAGTCTCACCACCATCACCACCTTGCCATAACTCCAAAACCCTCAGACGTTTGGGAGCCGGCAACAGTGGGGAAGGAGGAAAGGGGGGTGGGGGAGCAAAGATTGGAGCCAGAGTCGAACGGCCGCCACTCAACACATCAGCCTCAGAACTAGGGTTGGATAGTCAGTGCGGGGGGTCTGGGGCTCCCTCTTTCCCCTCCCGGGTAGGGGGGAGCTGTGCAGACAGTGGAGCAGCAACAATGTTGACATCATGCTTGTTTGCTTGTTTTCGGTTTGGAGAGTTCTGCTTGGTAGTTCGGTTTTCTGTCACAATTTTTAATAAGCTGTAGTTTGTTTTGGGACTCCTACTTTTCTGGGTGCCTAACCTGGTAGATTGCAGACATAGAATGCTTTCAACCACATGGGGTTTCTATAGGCCATTGCTCCTCATGCCTCTCTGAGGGACCAGATTCTGGCTCGTGGTCCCCCGGTAGGCTAAAAACTCCAATCGAACTGAATGATGACATGGTTTAATATATGCATATCAGCCTGATATAACTCCAGGGAGCCAGAGGGGCTCTGCACATAAAATACAGTATTTATCCCAATATATTTCCACCATTAAAAGCTCAAGTAATACAACATTCTGTAAGTGGTCAATAAACATCACCAAGATTGTGAAAGAAAAAATCATTGAAGTCATACCTTGGATCATCATATTCAATAGATTTTGGGTCTTTATTTATCATCTCCGTTAAGTGCGTGACAGCTGCCTTGTTGCCAGGAATACGATAGATGCCTTGTGTCTGCAAGCCTCGGCCTTCTACTACGCCCACGCATAGAGCAACAAGTAGCGGCACGTATTCATTCTCAAGCGACTGTAAGTAAAGATAAAACACTAGTGAAGAATCAAAGGAACAGAAATATAAATTAAGGATGTGAAATAATGAATCCTTGCCTTCCTATGAGAACACACTTACATCCCTGGACTACCCCAGGCATATTGCACTACCCACTCAAAGATTTGTTATTTTTCACTTAATTATTAACTTCCATAACCATACTTCGTATAATAATACGAGTCTTCTATTTTCATTTATTATAACTTCTAACAAGAAAAGTGTACAATCTATTTACACCATTGCTAATAGGTTAATACCTGCTTGATGGGGTTCTGGGAGTTCTTCTACTCCCCAAGCCCGGCCCAAGGCCAGGCTTGACTTGTGAGAGTTTGGTCCACCAGGCTGTTGCTTGGAGCGGCCCGCAGGCCCACATACCCACCACAGCCCGGTTGGTCCGGCACGTTTTTTTAGAAAACAGTCCAGTTTTCTCTTGAAGATGTCCATGGTTGTTCCGGCAATATTTCTTATAGTCGCCGGGAGGATGTTGAACAACCGTGGACCTCTGATGTTTATACAGTGTTCTCTGATTGTGCCAATGGCACCTATGCTCTTCACTGGTTCCATTCTGTATTTTCTTCCATATCATTCACTCTAGTATGTTCAGAGGCATTAGGTGATAGAAAATGTGCCCAACCATTTCTGTCCCACCCGGGATTCGAACCCGGAATTCTCGATTGTGAGTGGAGACCGAACCCTCACTTCTATATTTCTATAATTCAACTTCTATAATTCTATCGCATGATCTACTTCCAAAATTCACGGAAAACCAACCAATGGTGAATTTAAAAGAAAGATGTAGACCATTGAGCCTAATGTAAAAGGGCCACTGGCGTAAGATACACAAAATGAAGAGCAATAATGAGACAGTTCACCCAAAGTAGCACAGGACACAATGTATAGACACCAGATAGCTGAAATTCTTACCGGAGGGCAGTCCTCAAGACAGACCCCAATAGTCGCTCCCTCTGGTAGTGGCATTGTGGGAGTGATAGCTGGTGACCCACTATGTACCTTCTTCATAAAAGGTCTCTTTAAATGACCTCTCCAGGTTTTTGATTTTGGTGAAGAATTACTCTCTGAAAATATATTAGTGAAATTAACACATTGAAAAAATTTCAAAACTCTAGCAATAATACAAAAAATAATAACCGAACCCAACATACTGTATATGAAACAAAATTAGTGATGCTTGGTTTATTCTAGACCAGCAGTCACCAACCTTTCGGAGCTCACGGATCACTAAATTCATAATTTTAAATCCCGTGGTCCATCAAACAAGAAATGATAGTTATTTAAAGTCAAACTATTTGATGCCAATAAATATAACAGTTAAAGAAAATACAGTTACAAAAAATACACAAATAAAATTGTCTTGCGGACCATCAGTTGGCGACTGCTGTTCTAGACCATTATCAAGTCGCGACATAGCAAGAGTGAGAGAGTGAGGGAAGAATAAACAGGGAAAAGTGCCAAGCCATTATGACTATATAGCACTTGGAAGGAGTCAAGATAAGGATTTGGGATGGGACGGGGTAAAGGAATGGTGCCCAACCACTTGGATGGCTGGGGGTTGAACGCGACCTGTATGAAGCGAGACCGTCGCTCTACAGTTGTTGTTGTTGTTGCTTTACATTCAGTTACTCAGAACAAAAAGTTCCAGGTAGCGCAGGCTATGATGCGGCCGTAGTGGACTTACCTGGCACAGGAGCAGGGCTGCAACTCACCCCGTCCCTGCTCTACCATCCAGAGTCAATATAAGAAAAAGAGAGAAGGTGTGGTGAGAGGTGAAGGGTAAGTATTCACTTAGTTGTATTCACCTAGTTGTTCTTGCAGGGGTTCCTTTCGGCTCGCCTCTCAACTGTCAATCAATCAACTGTAACTAACTATTAAATAATTTTTTGTCCCCACACACATACACACACACCCAGGAAGCAACTCCATAACAGCTGTCTAACTCCCAGGTACCTATTTACTGCTAGGTAACAGGGGCATCAGGGTGAAAGAAACTTTGCCCATTTGTTTCTGCCTGGTCCGGGAATTGAACTCGGGCCACAGAATTACAAGTCCTGTGCACGGTCCGCTCAGCTACCAGACCCCCCCCTTGGAGAAGTATGTGAAGTAAGCATGAAAAACAAGCAAACATAAAACATAATTTTCAGTAGTTGTAATGCAAAAGCATGACAAAACATTAGGTACAGTACTGTATTGTGACAAAAATGATAAGAATGGATGAAGAAAGATTGTGGGTGGCAAGAGCCGCATAGGATTATAGCCATTTATTGCAAGGTTATTGTTAACTTGTTCATTCATTAACTGAATGCACAGAAGACTTGTACTGCCATCTTTCCCATCAATAATATGATGAAAATCACAAAATAAATTATAGTATTACCAAGTTATCACGACTCTCATATTTATGCCAAGTTATTAACCATGATATGAATATCACATGATGAAAAACACAAATATTTAAATATTCTCAAGCAATTGGCAACAGAACTCTAGCATCTCAAAGAACTTGAGAAAATGTTCAGATTCAACTCAGTCTAACCAGAGACACCAGGTAGTCTCTGGCTACCTGGTGCAGTTGGGTTATTGGAGGGGAAATAGCTTCCTCTTCCTCTTTTAAGTGTCTGGTGGTTAGTTGGTCAGAGTACTGGACTTGTCAAGGGGTTCACTGCCCCTGTCAGTCATAGATTTGAACCTTTCACGAGAGGAGTTCTTTCTAAAACAATCGCCTTGTGTGTTCTTGGAAGTGGTTATATATGTATGTATGTAATATATATATATATATACACATATATATATATATATATATATATATATATATATATATATATATATATATATATATATATATATATATATATATATATATATATATATATATATATATATATATATATATATATATATATATATATATATATATATATATATATATATATATATATATATATATATATATATATATATCTATATATATATATATATATATATATATATATATATATATATATATATATATATATATATATATATATATATATATATATATATATATATATATATATATATATATATATATATATATATATATATATTATTAAATATGACCGAAAAAGTAAGATTAATAATTCTAACACAAATTTTCTCAATCTTTCGTACATTACGCTTCACTGTTGGAGGTAAATCAAAAATCAATTCTCCAAAATTCATTTTTATTTCTAGTTTGACGCGACACGGGCGCGTTTCGTAAAACTTATTACATTTTCAAAGACTTTAGTTCACAAAAACACAACTGATTAGAACTTACGTATCTCTGATTTTATATCTATATTTGAGTGAGGTGGGAGGGGTGATGCGGCATTAACACAAGACAGAACAAGAGGGGATATTAATAGGGTATTAAAAGTATCAACACAAGACAGAACACAAACAATGGGTATTGAATAGAAGTGTTTGCAGAAAGCCTATTGGTCCATATTTCCTGATGCTTCTATATTGGAGCGGAGTCTTGAGGTGGGTAGAATATAGTTGTGCAATAATTGGCTGTTGATTGCTGGTGTTGACTTCTTGATGTGTAGTGCCTCGCAAACGTCAAGCCGCCTGCTATCGCTGTATCTATCGATGATTTCTGTGTTGTTTACTAGGATTTCTCTGGCGATGGTTTGGTTGTGGGAAGAGATTATATGTTCCTTAATGGAGCCCTGTTGCTTATGCATCATTAAACGCCTAGAAAGAGATGTTGTTGTCTTGCCTATATACTGGGTTTTTTGGAGCTTACAGTCCCCAAGTGGGCATTTGAAGGCATAGACGACGTTAGTTTCTTTTAAAGCGTTCTGTTTTGTGTCTGGAGAGTTTCTCATGAGAAGGCTGGCCGTTTTTCTGGTTTTATAGTAAATCGTCAGTTGTATCCTCTGATTTTTGTCTGTAGGGATAACGTTTCTATTAACAATATCTTTCAGGACCCTTTCCTCCGTTTTATGAGCTGTGGAAAAGAAGTTCCTGTAAAATAGTCTAATAGGGGGTATAGGTGTTGTGTTAGTTGTCTCTTCAGAGGTTGCATGGCTTTTCACTTTCCTTCTTATGATGTCTTCGATGAAACCATTGGAGAAGCCGTTATTGACTAGGACCTGCCTTACCCTACAGAGTTCTTCGTCGACTTGCTTCCATTCTGAGCTGTGGCTGAGAGCACGGTCGACATATGCGTTAACAACACTCCTCTTGTACCTGTCAGGGCAGTCGCTGTTGGCATTTAGGCACATTCCTATGTTTGTTTCCTTAGTGTAGACTGCAGTGTGGAAACCTCCGCCCTTTTCCATGACTGTTACATCTAGAAAGGGCAGCTTCCCATCCTTTTCCATCTCGTAAGTGAAACGCAGCACGGAACTCTGCTCAAATGCCTCCTTCAGCTCCTGCAGATGTCTGACATCAGGTACCTGTGTAAAAATGTCGTCAACATACCTGCAGTATATGGCCGGTTTCAAGTTCATGTCGACTAAGACTTTTTTCTCGATGGTACCCATGTAGAAGTTTGCAAACAGGACACCTAGGGGAGAACCCATGGCAACCCCATCTACTTGCTTATACATGTGCCCATCCGGGCTCAAAAAGGGTGCCTCTTTAGTACAAGCTTGGAGTAGTTTCCTCAGAATATTTTCTGGCATGTCAAGAGGAGTACAGGCTGGATCACGATACACTCTGTCGGCTATCATTCCGATTGTCTCGTCCACAGGTACGTTGGTAAACAGCGATTCTACGTCCAACGAGGCTCTTATCCCTGCGGCCCGTGTACCCCGCAGTAAGTCAACAAATTCCTTTGGAGACTTCAGGCTGAAGGCGCAATGGACATAAGGAGTCAGCAGGCCGTTGAGTCGCTTCGCCAGTCTGTACGTGGGTGTGGGTATCTGGCTAATGATTGGCCGAAGTGGGTTTCCAGGCTTGTGCGTCTTGACATTTCCATACACATATCCAGGTTTATATTCCCCAATGATCTTTGGCAGGTGGAGTCCGGATTTCTTGGCGTTCACAGTTTCGATCAGTTTGGTGACCTTTGCTTTTAATTCGGCTGTAGTGTCCTTCGTTACCCTTTGGAACTTAGTTTGGTCAGAGAGTATGATGAGTATGGCGAAAATGAACATCATACTCTCTGACCAAACTAAATTCCAAAGGGTAACGAAGGACACTACAGCCGAATTAAAAGCAAAGGTCAACAAACTGATCGAAACTGTGAACGCCAAGAAATCCGGACTCCACCTGCCAAAGATCATTGGGGAATATAAACCTGGATATGCGTATGGAAATGTCAAGACGCACAAGCCTGGAAACCCACTTCGGCCAATCATTAGCCAGATACCCACACCCACGTACAGACTGGCGAAGCGACTCAACGGCCTGCTGACTCCTTATGTCCCTTGCGCCTTCAGCCTGAAGTCTCCAAAGGAATTTGTTGACTTACTGTGGGGCACACGGGCCACAGGGATAAGAGCCTCGTTGGACGTAGAATCGCTGTTTACCAACGTACCTGTGGACGAGACAATCGGAATGATAGCCGACAGAGTGTATCGTGATCCAGCTTGTACTCCTCTTGACATGCCAGAAAATATTCTGAGGAAACTACTCCAAGCTTGTACTAAAGAGGCACCCTTCTTGAGCCCGGATGGGCACATGTATAAGCAAGTAGATGGGGTCGCCATGGGTTCTCCCCTAGGTGTCCTGTTTGCAAACTTCTACATGGGTACCATCGAGAAAAAAGTCTTAGTCGACATGAACTTGAAACCGGCCATATACTGCAGGTATGTTGACGACATTTTTACACAGGTACCTGATGTCAGACATCTGCAGGAGCTGAAGGAGGCATTTGAGCAGAGTTCCGTGCTGCGTTTCACTTACGAGATGGAAAAGGATGGGAAGCTGCCCTTTCTAGATGTAACAGTCATGGAAAAGGGCGGAGGTTTCCACACTGCAGTCTACACTAAGGAAACAAACATAGGAATGTGCCTAAATGCCAACAGCGACTGCCCTGACAGGTACAAGAGGAGTGTTGTTAACGCATATGTCGACCGTGCTCTCAGCCACAGCTCAGAATGGAAGCAAGTCGACGAAGAACTCTGTAGGGTAAGGCAGGTCCTAGTCAATAACGGCTTCTCCAATGGTTTCATCGAAGACATCATAAGAAGGAAAGTGAAAAGCCATGCAACCTCTGAAGAGACAACTAACACAACACCTATACCCCCTATTAGACTATTTTACAGGAACTTCTTTTCCACAGCTCATAAAACGGAGGAAAGGGTCCTGAAAGATATTGTTAATAGAAACGTTATCCCTACAGACAAAAATCAGAGGATACAACTGACGATTTACTATAAAACCAGAAAAACGGCCAGCCTTCTCATGAGAAACTCTCCAGACACAAAACAGAACGCTTTAAAAGAGACTAACGTCGTCTATGCCTTCAAATGCCCACTTGGGGACTGTAAGCTCCAAAAAACCCAGTATATAGGCAAGACAACAACATCTCTTTCTAGGCGTTTAATGATGCATAAGCAACAGGGCTCCATTAAGGAACATATAATCTCTTCCCACAACCAAACCATCGCCAGAGAAATCCTAGTAAACAACACAGAAATCATCGATAGATACAGCGATAGCAGGCGGCTTGACGTTTGCGAGGCACTACACATCAAGAAGTCAACACCAGCAATCAACAGCCAATTATTGCACAACTATATTCTACCCACCTCAAGACTCCGCTCCAATATAGAAGCATCAAGAAATATGGACCAATAGGCTTTCTACAAACACTTCTATTCAATACCCATTGTTTGTGTTCTGTCTTGTGTTGATACTTTTAATACCCTATTAATATCCCCTCTTGTTCTGTCTTGTGTTAATGCCACATCACCCCTCCCACCTCACTCAAATGTAGATATAAAATCAGAGATACGTAAGTTCTAATCAGTTGTGTATTTGTGAACTAAAGTCTTTGAAAATGTAATAAGTTTTACGAAACGCGCCCGTGTCGCGTCAGACTAGAAATAAAAATGAATTTTGGAGAATTGATTTTTTATTTACCTCCAACAGTGAAGCGTAATGTACGAAAGATTGAGAAAATTCGTGTTAGAATTATTAATCTTACTTTTTCGGTCATATTTAATAATATATGTCTACAGGAAAGACTGCTACCAAAATATACTAATATATATATATATATATATATATATATACAGTATATATATATATATATATATATATATATATATATATATATATATATATATATATATATATATATATATATATATATATATATATATATATATATATATATATATATATATATATATATATATATATATATATATATATATATATATATATATATATATATATATATATATATATATATATATATATATATATATATATATATATATATATATATATATATATATATATATATATATATAATATATATATATATATATATATATATATATATATATATATATATATATATATATATATATATATATATATATATATATATATATATATATATATATATATATATTATATATATATATATATATATATATAATATATATATATATATATATATATATATATATATATATATATATATATATATATATATATATATATATATATATATATATATATATATATATATATATATATATATATAATATATATATATATATATATATATATATATATATATATATATATATATATATATATATATATTATATATTATATATATATATATATATATATATATATATATATATATATATATATATATATATATATATTATATATATATATATATATATATATAAATAAATAAAAGTAGATCCCCCACAAGGTAGCCATAAGATAGTTTGAGTTTCCTTTGATGATTATGAAAATGATGTCCCTGGAACCTATTTGTGCTGGGGTTAGATAAGACACCCTTCTGAATACTTATTATCTTGGCTGGGTGACTATATTCTCTAGTAATTCCCAGCATCTTTATATGGTACTGCAAAATCAGTGTGTGAGAGTATGGTCTCTCAAGATTCTCCCACAGTGTACCTGTATGGTACCATATAATCAGCTGCCGCCAGCCTCCACTCAGACCAGAGTATGTAGCCAGCCGCCACTAGCCGCCGCCAGCTGCTGCCACTCGCTCTGCCCTCACTGTACTATGTGACGTCACCACCCGTCACACCTTTACGCACTGCCAGTGTCATCAATTGTGCGTGTGTGTCTGTTAAGCATACAGCACACCCTCCTCTGCAAGTACCCTCCGTGTCAAGTACAGGTTGTTGGGAAAGCCTGTCGTCAATGGTCTCACGTCATAGCGAGCGGAACCAGCTGTCAGGCCACCTACGAGTTCTTGCATAAATGTGCACGAGTGAGTGAGTGAATGGGAGAGGTAGCCTATCTGTAAGTACAAGATCTTGTTTCTTTATTATTGTGTCTGTGTGTGATGATCTGAGGGCTCAACCACAGTTCTCACCCTCTCATACCCGACACAGGTATTGGTAGAGACCTAGACACCCGACGGTGTATGCGTGTTTATCTTTGAGGTACCACGACATTCCACTCGTCTGTGAATGTGAGTTTCACATACACCACACATTTAGTTATTGTGTGACATAATTATTGTGCATGATTATTGCCTGTCCCGTTGACAGTGCCATTGTGATTTATTGCGCATCATCGTTATCCGAGTGTCCGGTTGGAACGACCGGTGACCCTTTTTGCACACCGGCATTTAGGTTTGCTGTGTTAATGATTGACTGTCAATTGTGTTAAGTTAAAATTTCTCCACGAATGGATCCGAATTGATTAGTAAGACGTCAAGAATCTCGCTAATGCAACCATAGCCTTTCTGACGCCAATCTAAAGTAAATCAAGCACCCTTTGTATTAGTGGTTAAATTTGTAAATAAACTACTGTTAAGCTTTATGCGGTGTTTCAGTTGAACCACTTCTGAATACTGTCAACTATTACTTAAGCCTTCAGCTCCAGGTGTCTTCAACAAGGAGTTGCCTATTATTCACTAAACTATAAATGTGATGAGGACCATAGGAGTCCCTTAAAGTGTTTCAGGCATTGAGGAGATTCCCACAACTAACGTGGATCAGGACCAGGCGAGTCTAGTGTGAGAAGAGACCCTCAAGGATTCTAACTCGACCTTGCTCCTAGGCCCTGTACGGTTGCTCTCGTATTTTCTCTGTTTGATTCCGACAGCTTCGTGAAGCATCTGCCACATGTACATTGGTGACGTACGCATTGCAGTTGGGAAAGCAAAATAGAAAACCCCACACACTGTATAATCTTGTGTACAGTACAAATGCATGCCCTAGTACCATCAGAGTCACGTGTATCTGTCCGACTGTGTCGAGATCCTGATAACGACGAGATGGATCAATATACCTCTGGGAGCAACAGCATAATACATCTTTGAAAAATACGATAACTTATCAACTAGAAATCATTTTGTAAACATAAGGTTTTGTGTAAGATCAAAGAATACAGGTACTAGTAAAGTTAGGAAACTTATGAAAAGCAAACTATGTAGGGGACACTCAACAAATATTTACAGTGTACATTACTTACCAGAACTACTGGGTTTACGTGTTTTTGTTGAAGGAGATTGGCCAGTGGGGGAGCGCGTTCTCAAAGTGGATGTGAGTTTCCGCATTGCTTTATTACTTGTTTGTGGAGACACATTGTTGTTGTTCATGGGGGTTTTGCTGCCTGATTCGCCTTCCTGTGAATACCAAAAATTTGTGTAAATTTTCAGAATTACATAATGTAATAATAATTACATAATAATGCAGCCATAATTACAGTAAAGTATAAGAAATAAGCAAGAAATTTTAATTGGTCAAAACTTGACAAAGAATAACTATCTACAATTATAGTACAGTAAAACAAATCAAAAGTAATTTTAATTGGCAGAAGTTTTAAAAAAAATAACTAATATATCCCCATTCTTACAGAAATTGGACATAAACAATGCAACTTGAAAAGTATGTACAGTACAGTATATCCATACACCCACATACCCATGGAAATGGGAGAGGGGGGACCTTTCCATCACTAGTTACCTGTAAGGCACAATTGTTCTGTAGAGTGGAGAGCCATGCCAACATCTCTGGTGGAGTGTCGGCCTGGAGAAGTAGCTGAGACCCGCCTGGTGTGGCAAGACGCAGCACATTCCGCCTCTTGGTGTAGTCGCTTGCGACCTCAACCTCAGCACCACGAAGGGATATCTGCTCTTCCACTCCCAAGGGTGTCTGTAAGACAAATATAAATATCTAAAACAGCTGAAAGTGAATAAATTAAACAGAGCATGTACATAATAAATGAATATACTGTAGAATTAAAACATAAGATGTACAACTGTAATGAGAAAAGTCTGAAAAAAAAATTTGAAGGCTTACAGAAGCAGGAACACTATATCCTCACTATTAAGAAGTAGATCATTAATGCTAATTACAATTTAAAAACACAACAAACAGTGATTATGCTGATTTCAGGATTGCTAAACTGCTATATTAACATGCAAACTGTAAATTCAGAATAAGTACTGTACTTAATAAAACAAAACAAAACTCTTGAGCACTTTTACCAAATGTACACTAAAATCTGGATGAAAACATTGGTAATTAAATAAGATATCATTATTATATACCATGATGTACCATGTTCATTTTGCATTACTTGTACAGATATTTTACATTACAAGTAATGTACAGTACAGTACTGTATAAGTCTAAATTAACTATGGTTACTCTATTGTTTAAGTGCATTCACTCACTTAATATACTGGTGTACAAGGGCCAGTGATCAACAATTGTGCAAATATTGGCACCTAAGACAAATAACTACATAAGAGTATTTCAAAACTGATGAACAAGCTGTTACTTATCAATTAATGCCAGCTTTGGTAAATATTTACAAGCCTTCTTAAATGAGGGCACGATTCCATAAATATTTGCAACGTCAGACATGTTCTAACTGCAGATTATTACGTACCTGCCCCTTGAGACTGAACCATTACTTATAATTCTTGTTCTATGTACTGTATCATGTTCTAGTGTCTTATGATCAAATTAACATTAACAAATAAAGTCCTTTATGCTTATGAAAAAGTGTTTGTTTCATCCATCTCTACCATGCCATTAAAATTTCCATAGAATGATTACAAGAAAAACTATACAATGAGTGTTATCCTGAGTGAGAGAGGGGGGGGGGGGAAGGGGGGTGATTGACAAATAATACTCCTAGAACTGTGACAAAGAAGTGTTTAGCATTTAATACAATAAAACAAAATGATGTTTGCCTATTGGACCAAGCTCTTGCAAGTCAAGCCTGGCCTCGGGTCAGGTTTGGGAATAGAACTCCCAGAACCCCATCAAGTAGGTATCAAGCAGATATTGTACATTAGATATTATATAACAACAATATTAAAGCAGGATATATAAAGGTTATTACTGACAAAATAAATACAGCATATTGAAAGTAAATATTCACTGTGATTAAAAACAAATAAAATCAAATCTGTTGGAGGAGATATGCCACCTTGATAAACAGGAAAAGTGAGAGGTGAAGTATGTGTAGACTTTCTTTTTCCATTGGAGTGAGTATATGTTCAGTATGTGTGTAATTACCTAAGTGTAGTTACAGGAGTTACAGGACACCAAGAGCGTAGCTCTTGGTGTCCCATCTTCCCAGCATTCTTTGTCGTATAACGCTTTGAAACTACTGACAAGTTTTGACCTCCACCACCTTCAAAACCACGAGGCTAGAAATAGCCTAAGCTACTCTATCCTTTAGAGATGTATTTCATTACCTCCATAAACTTACTTGAACCTTCTCACATAACTTGTTTCAACCGTCTACCACTCTGTTTGTGAAAGTGAATTTCCTTATACGTGTATTTCTTTGGCAGCTTTGTTTAGTTATCGGTAGTTTAAATCAATGACCTCTTGTTCCATGAAGTTTCCAGGTCTCAGGAATTCTTCAGTCAATTTTATCAATTCTAGTTACTATTTCGTACATAGTGATTATATTGTCTCTTTTTCTTCCAGGTTTGGCATATTTAATTCCTCTAATCTAACCTCGTAGCTTTGTCCATCAGATCTGGGAGCCATTTAGTTGCATGTCTTTGCACGTTTTCCAGTTTGTCAATGTGTTCTATATTTCAGCTTTGCTTCTATGTTCCAGCATTGGTCTAACAAAAGTTGTGAACAAGTTCTTTAGTATTTCCATCCATTTATTTAAAAGCAATTCTAAAGTTAGAAAGAGTAGCATAGGCTCCTCGCACGATGTTCTTTATGTGGTCCTCAGGTGATAGTTTTATATCTAGAACCACCCCTAGATCTCATTCCATATCCAAATTCTTTAAAGTTTTCTCACAGAATTTATAGATTGTGTAGGGTCTATGTTCTCCTATTCCACATTCCATAACATGGTATTTATTCACATTAAATTCCATTTGTCAAGTGGTGCTCCATACACTTAATTTGTCCAGGTCTTCTTGAAGGGCATGACAATCATCTAAGTTTCTTATCTTCCCTATTATCTTAGCATCATCAGCAAACATGTTCATATAATTCTGTATTCCATCTGGTAGATTGTTTATGTAGACAATGAACATTACCCATGCAAGAGCTGAACCCTGTGGTACTCCACTCATGACATTTCTCCAGTCCGATACATTGCCTCTACTTACTGCCCTCATTTTTCTGTCAGAAAACTTTTCTGCCATGTTAGAAGCCTCCCTGTCACCCCTCCAATATGTCCCAGTTTCCAGAACAGCCTCTTATGTGGAACTCTGTCGAAAGCCTTTTTAAGGGCCAGATAGATGCAGTTAACCCAACCATCTTTTTCCTGTAAAATCTCTGGCTCGATTATAGAAACTGAGTAAATTCATTACACAGGATCTTCCAGATCGAAAACCATACTGTCTGTCTGTTATTATACAGTTTTTCTCCGGGTGTTCTACTCATTTAGTTTTAATTATTTCTTCCAATATTTTGACTATTACACGTGTCAATCATACAACTCTATAATAGAGAAGGGGGTCTTCCCTGCTGCCACTTTTGTAGATTGGAACTATGTTAGCCTTTTTCCACGCATCTGCTATGACTCCTGTACATAGGGATGCCTGAAAAATCAGTTGAAGTGGAATGCTGAGCTAAGGTGCACATTATCTCAGGACCCATGGTGAAACTCCATCCGGGCCAACTACTTTGTTCTTACTTAGCCCCTTGAGCAGTTTTTTCACTTCGTCTCTAGACACCTCTATGTGCTATATGTTGTTCTCAGGAATTCAATTCTTATTGTGTCTGGTTCTCTGAAGATTTAATTTTGCACAAACACATTTTGGAACTTTTTGTTTAATGTTTCACACACTTCCTTTTCATCTTCCATGAATCTGTTTTCTATTTTCAATCTCTGAATATTATCCTTTACCTGCAATTTGATGTTGATGAATTTATAGAATAGGCCTGGTTCTGTGTTATATTTGTCACCTGTCTCTTTCTCAAAATTTCTTTCTGCCTCTCTCCTCACTGCCGTGTAGTTGTTCCTTGTTCTTTGCATCGCTGGTAAGTTTATGTAATTAACTAAGTGTAATTACCTAAGTGTAGTTACACGATGAGAGCTATGCTCATGGTGTCCCCTCTTCCCAGCACTCAAAAATGTATAACGCTTTGAAACTACAGTACTGACAGTTTTGGCTTCACCTTCTCACCTAACTTGTTCCAACCATCTACAACTTTGTTTGCAAAAGGGAATTTTCTTATATTTCTTCAGCAGCTTTGTTTCATTAGTTTAAATTTATGACCTCTTGTTCTCAAAGTTCCAGGTCTCAGGAAGTCTTCCCTATCAATTCTATTGATTCCTGTTACTGTCTTGTACATTATGATCATATTGCCTCTTTTTCTTCTATCTTCTAGTTTTGGCATAATTAATGCCTCTAACCTCTCCTAGTAGCTCTTATCCTTCAGTTTTGGGAGCCATTTAGTGGCATGTCTTTGCACCTTTTCCAGTTTGTTGATGTGCTTCTTAATTAAGATACACTGAAAAAGTTCTTTCTAACATCCCTATGGCTCATTTGGGTACTCAGTTTCCACCTGTGTCCCCTTGTTTGCATACCACCCATGCTACAGTTTATCTACCCTGTTAATTCCTCTGAGAATTTTGTATGTAGTGATCATGCCTCCCCGAGCTCTCCTGTATTCCAGTGACATGAGGTGCATTTCACACAGCCTTTTCTCATAACTAATGCCTCTTAGTTCTGGGATTAGCCTAGTGGCATACCTCTGAACTTTTTCCAACTTACTTCGTCTTGTGCTTGACAAGCTACGGGCTCCATGCTGTGGCTGCTTACTCCAGGATTGGTCTCACATATGTGGTATACAAGGTTCTGAAGAATTCCTTACTCAGGTTCCTGAAGGCAGTCCTGATGTTAGCCAGCCTTGCATATGCCGCTGATGTTATTCTTTTGATGTGGGCTTCAGGAGACAGGTCTGGAATGATATCAACTAGATCTTTTTCTCTATCCATTTCATGAAGGATTTCATCTCCCATTCGGTATCCTGTGTCTGGCCTCCTGTTTCTACTGTCAAGTTTCATTACCTTACATTTACTTGGGTAGCCATTTGTTGGACCATTCATTTAGTTTGTCTAGGTTGCCTCATACTATCTTCCATTGTCTTAATCCTCCTCATAATTTTTGCATCATCAGTAAAACAATGAGAGGAACAAGTCTATTTCCTCTGGGAGATCATTTACATATACTGTATCAGAAACAGTATAGGTCCAAGGACTGTTCCCTGTGGGACTCCACTGGTGACACCTCGCCAGTCCTAGACCTCACCCCTCACAGTGACTTGATGTCTTCTGTTGCTTTGGTACTTCCTTATCCAATGGAGTATCTTCCCTTTCACTCCAGCCTGCATCTCCAGCTTGTGCACTAGTCTCTTGGGCAGTACTGTGTCAAAGCCTTTCTGGCAATCCAAGAATATGCAGTCTGCCCACCCCTCTCTGCCTGATTTTTGTTCCTTGTCATAGAATTCAATTAATCCTGTGAGGCATGACTTGCCATCCCTGAACCCCATGCTGATGTTGTGTTACAAAGTTCTTTTGCTCCAGGTGTTCCATTTTTTTTTTTTGTACAATTTTCTCCATCAACTTGCATAGTATGCAAGTTTGGGACACTGACCTGTAGTTCAGTACTTCCTGTCTGTCCCCTTTCTTGTATATTGGGACTACATTAGCCGTCTTC